CACCCAACCGACCCAGTGAGCTGGTGCACGTGCTGGAGGACCGGTGGGTGCCACGTCGGATTCTCGTCTCATTAGGAATCGTCTAAATGCATTCATCTGTCGTACGTCTGCGCCGACGTTTGCGCATTCAAACGTGGGGCGGGCGCTCACGTTCCCGTTTGAAAATCTGAATGTCACACTAGGGAAAAAAAAGCCAGATGACACAATCCTTACATGGTCTGCTCAAAACCCAACAGTGCACTTTCGGCAAATGCGGTCCCGAAATTACACAGTTGGATTTTCAGCAGATTCTGTCAGGGCTGTGTCATCTGGACTGTTTTTTACTAGCGTCATGCGCAGGTTTGCGATTCCGATTTGGAAACGTGATCACAATGGACGCGTTCAAGTCTCAGTTCCAATTGCCTACGCTCAACGCATTTTTGGACGTAAAATGATAATTAGTGAATACGTGTGAGTTTTGAAACAGAGGAAAATCCGCCTAAATGGGTGTTTTGGCCCCGCTTCAGCAAATGTCCATAAGACATCCTGACGTAGTGATGCACAAGTATGCGCCGCCTCTTTCGAGAACAAACAGACCGCCCAACGTCGCCAGCTCGGTGAAAGGGTTGGACTTGTCATGTCGTCCTTCCGCGGCAGGGACATAACCAACGAGTTGGACATCGCATCCTAAATTTGATCAGCTTTATACCACTAATTCAGAAAAAATGTGTAAGTCGTTGAGCTTACTCAGTGGAATGCAAGTCGCACTCAGATTTCAAAAGGCACATTTGATTGCACATTTTAGCTTCCAGGAAGTACAAAGCTTAGTACCTTGTGATATTTCGATGCATCCGCTTTTTCAAATGTTCGGGAAAACATTGGTAGGAAAATGAATTCAAATGCGCCCTGTATTTGGTATACCCATTATAATTTCTTCTCCATCCGACATCCAGGCTTGGTTTTTACGCCGCAAAACCTGATCGCTTGTACGATTTTACACCTAAAAATGCGTAAAAATACGTAAACGAAACGCAAAACTTGCCCGGTGTACACAAGTACAGTACATACACATTTACAGAATCCGGAGAGTGGCAGCCAGACGCCCTGAAAGGGGCAGAAAGCGAGCTTTTGTAAAATGGCATTATCGCCCTTGTCAAGGGCGAGGTGGACATTGTGTTGCGGGTGCTGGAGATGGCACAGGACTGATCATTGTATGCAACTTTCATTGTGTAACCAGGGTGTCCCAGGGAGCCGCAAAAACGTAAAAATAGCCATAAAATAGGCCCTTTTGCAAATGTACATTTTGCGAGTAAAACGCAAGAGTAAGAGCGTAAACGTAAATGTAAAAACCGGGCCTGCTGGCATCCTTGGAGCGGTTCCCTTGGACGCATCTTTGGCACTTGTTCGGAAAAAAGCGATTGCGGATGGATGTGTGGGTGGTTGGTGTTAACGGGGTTGGGGTTCCTGGTTCCGGAACTTTCGGGCGATTTGGAATGTGGCCACTGTAGGGTAAAGTACACGTGAATATTCACGAGCATTAATGCTGCCCAAAATGGAATGCTTGCACGAACCTCGGGGATTGACGGGTCGGCACTTGGAAATCTTGGCAGTTTTCCAGTACCGCAGTATATTCAACCCTCCCGCATCAAGCAATTTGCCGTTACCCTTTTTGCTACGCGTTTTTTTCTGCGTATCACTGTTTCACGTTGCTTCGCAACAATTTTATATAAATAGCGTAGATATTTTACTGTTTTCTCCGCAAAGGGGGTCAAACTTTACGTTACTATGCGGAAGGAGTGAATATCCTGCGGTACTTTCAGTGCTGGTGATTGGCAAGGGCTTCAAAAGACTTCTAACTGGGCAATCCCTGCGGCAACAATGCGTGCGCATGTGCACCACTCGAGCGATCAGGTTAGCGGAAGCAATGCGTCTCTTTATATTGTTGCACATTTATCACATTTCATGATATATTTTGCCCTTTTCAGAAACCACGCGGGGCACACCTTCACCTTCCTCGCCCTCGTGAAGCGCAAGTCCAGCGAGGACGTCGGGATGGCGATCCAGTCTGCCTCCAGTCGGCCTCGGAGGGATGTTTCATTTTCGGGTTTCGAATTCCGCCATCGAATCGATTCGAATTTCTATTCAGGTCCGCATTTCGAGTTCAAATTCTGGAATACGCAATCTTGAATAGTCAAAATTGTTGCTCGCGGCTCCACCATGCACGTTTTTAACTGTCCGAGTTGCATCTGATGCCCGAGAACCTAAGCCCTAAGCCCTCTAAAAAAGCAACCCTAAAACCTAAACCTAACACTGGAAACGCTAAAAGACGAGGCCCACGACCCTTTTTGCTGCGTTGCTCTTTCGAAGGCCATGATTTAGGCTCTCCACGGCTGGCCTTGCCTCCCGCACCCCGAATCGCAATATTCTCCCAATACCCCGCCCTTGCGGACCCAGGCATGGTGTGTGCTCATCTTTGCTTCAGGAGGCTGTGGTCACCTTCTTATAGCATGGAAGGCCTCTGCTGGGCGGGGTGCCCTTTGTCTGACTTGTTTTCTCTTTCACTTTATGTGTCCCCTTGGCGGTGTCCGACTTGTTTCTCTTTCTCTTTTGTAACGATCCCTTGGCGGTGTTTGTGGAGGAGGGCCGCTGTCCAGCAATTCAAGATTTAAAATATTTGCCAACGGCGGCTGATGTGGCGATTTTCTGAGTACCCCGCCCAAACCGCGTACCTTGATGATGGGCCACATTATGGTGACTGGATTATAAGGAAGTCTATAAGCGCTGGAGTGTTTTGGGTAATTGAGTTTGTATTATGAGACGTTTCATGCCTATGAGAGGTTGCTGTGACAGCCTGGATAACCCACGGCGTACATGTGAAAGCGTGCTGGGAAGTACTGAAGGGACCAAGTGCCTTTTGTGAGAATGCGTCGAGGGCCTAATGACGTGCCACCCTGTACGACTGCTGACGGATGCTTGGAGACGAGCTGGACCATCGAAGATGCGACGGGCGAATGGAGGACGTGCTCAACCCTTGGAGATGAAGCGGGGAGCGTTGGAGATGTGCCACACCGTTGGAAATACCCCAGGGCAACGGCTGGGCACGCCCGGCTTACTATGGGAGCGTCAGAGGCGAGTTCCAGCGTACTTAAGAGGCCGAAGCCTGGTGGGTGTTGCACCCGCTTGAGGTATAGTACTTTGCAAGGACTAACTTAGGCGGGTAAGGAACCCTGGGTAATTGGGAACAGTACTCAGGGCGGAGCAGCTGGTGTCGAGGGCCTTGGGTAACGCACCCGGCGGCTTGGAAGAGGGTAAGGCACCATAGGTAACTCGGGCCAGTACTTAGTATGGGGCGCTGATATTGAGGGCCTTGGGTAACGCACCCGGCGGCTTGGGCAGGGTAAGGAACCCTGGGTAACGCAGGCTAGTACATAGACCGGAGTGGCCGGTGTGTTAAGACGCGGGCAGCACACCCAAGGGAAAGGTACAATGGTACCTTGTATGGATTTGACGGGACCTTTCAGGGAACCCTGATAGCGGTGCCGCACCAGCGGCATAGGTATTTAAAGACACACGGCTTTCCTTGCAACGAACACGCGAACATTGGGCCCACCTCGCTGTTCTGTTTGTATCCTTCGGGGATTGTACCCCGTTGAGTGGAGAACACGCCGCACTGACAGACGCCCATTGTGGGTGCACCTCGCCATCGGGTTGAGCTCGATTGGGCGAGCGTCCATTTTCGTGCGTGACCGGTCCGTTGCCGGAAGATTCGCCATCTGGACGCGATTTCCGCGGTGGTTCGTGGCTCGACGCCACAGTTGACCCAGACTTGACTGCGCGCAAGTGATCCCAACGACAGCAACCGTTGCCGTGTCAGGGACCATCCCCTCAGCACGGGGTCGCAACCGGAAAGCACCGCATGAGTACAAGTGTAAGGGACAAAGTACTGCGTAAAGGTGCGCGCGTGACTGCCCCTCTGATGCCGAATCCTTCAAGTTCCGCCTTCCGCCACCAGGGATGAAGCGGGGGCGAGGGAGGGGCAACCGCCGGCGAATTCACCCCACCTGCTCTGCCCAGCCCGGAGGTCATCCAGCGCACCCAATTGGAGAATCGCCAGGAGTTCCTCCAGGTATGCGCACCGGCTGCTGTCGCTGGCCGTCACTGAGGCCCTCACCCCGCTGCGGGTGGCGCAAGGTGGATTGTTCGTTTTGGGCATTGTTGCAACCCGCGGCATAAATCAGCAGGTCCGATTGGCGTCGATCGGCTGCAGGAAAGGGTCGGCGCTCCCGGCGGGCCAGTTGGAATTTTGGGCCCGTTGGATTGGCTGGCGCGTCCGGGTTGCCGTGGGGAGGGAAGGGGCAGGCGTTGCGTCAGAGGTGCGCTGAGGACGCGTCATCAGCATCGCTTCCGGAGCCAACTTCCCATCGGGATTCCCCCCGGCAACGGCCTCCCGCACCTCCGGGAAGAGAGACCCGGAGCGGGGAAGGGGGGGAAATTTTGCCGAGTGGAGGGCGTCGGTGTTGCCTCAGCGTTGCCGCAAGAATTGACTCTTTTCATGGGCGTTGACGTGACGTGACGTGGGGTCTCTGCCTGGGCAGCGCAGCCGCCCGGGATGGCGAGGGCGGTTGGCGCCCTGGTGGCGCTCGCCCTGCTGGCGGCGCTGCCGCAGGGCGCGGAGTCGAGAATGAGCGCTGGAGCGTCGATCGGTGAGCCTTGGGGGGCCGGTCAGCTTCCCCGTGCTGTCTTGTCAGCCTTCACCGCTGTCGGTTTCTTCAACATCGTCCACCTGTGCATCGGTTTGATTAACTTCATCCAGCTTTTCATTGCTTTTGCTGTTGTTTTCCATATTTCCATTCATTCTTCATCCATTTTCGCGAATATTTTGATTGATCTCGTTCGGGTGCGCGGCCGGCGCTGGAATCGACTCCGCATGGGTTGACCGCCAGTGCCGGGTCAAGGGTGCTGAGCCTTTTGGCGCAGGATCCGTCGCGGGAGGCGGCCCGGAGGCGGCGCGGAGGCTGGCGATGCTCGAGGTATGTGCCGCTCGCGCCCTGTTGACCATTCGTCTGACTGTCCAGCGGTGGATTGGAAGCCTGTTCGCCAAAGGCGCAAGTCCTTGAGCTAAACGAAAGAAAGTTGATGCAAGTGGGTTGGTCACAATTGGCATGCACCTGAACCCTTCAAACGGTTGAATGAAAGTTGGCTTCTCAACTATTGGGCAGCCTGTGTCACTGCCATAGAGAATGGCTGGCTCATGCTTGGGAGTCGAGCCAGTCTGGCCAGGCTCGATAGTTTCCAAATTGTCAAGGGAGGGAGCCCTACCTACACCACTTGGTTTCTTTGAAAAGGGGCCTCTGGTACTTCTCGTTCACATTAATGTGCAGCCATTGTTGGACTACCACTGCAAGTTACTGACCTTGGCACCCTCCACACCAACAGCCTTTTGGAGATGGTGGGAAGAGTATGTTTGGTCACTTGGCACGCTTGGGCGAAAGTTCAAAAGTGAATTAACCAGCAAAAACAATGGGTGGTTAAGCCCACTGCTGCTTGTCTTTCAAGCATTAATTCAAGTGGGGCACCGTTCCCACCAAGAAGTGCCAAAATGCATACAGGATACTGTGCACAGCTTGTTCCAGAGCTGTGTACGCATTGCGGTATGGGCCTAGAAAAGTCCAGTCACATTACCCTTTGCATCAGACAACACTGTGCCTGGCAAGAGCACATTGGGCGGCTACCCAGACTTTGGTTATGACCCCAAATGTAAGCAATTTTGAAGATCCATACCAGGTACTAATTTGTTGCTCAATGGTGTTGTAAAAGGAAAGTGAGGAGCAAAAGATGCAGAGTGGAGAAATAGTATCAGTGCATTGTGGTGTGGAATGGCATGACTAAGACACCCGATCAGTGGCACCACACATTCTGCTTATGGGCTATGCCATGCGCATCACCCAAATTGCCTTTAGGACTCCTTCAGCTACACAAGATGTGTAACCCATTTGTCATAGCTGCTCTGATAGTTACAAGAACAGCACTGTACTTAAGATCAGTGCAGTGGCACACCAATGACATGCCACAATGCAGTGAACACTTCACAGTGATGTATATGACAGCAACTGACTGTTCACCTTTTGCATCGCAACCCACTCGCCAGCAACCTCACAGAATGTTTGCAGTCATGCGATGTGGTATTTAGTGCAGTCACGAGAACATTCTTGCAAATGTGCAACTTGGTAATGTTTTGACTGTCGTGGCCAGCAGCACATTTCACTACTGATGTGTACCTAGTACTGTGCAGAGCTTCTGTGCCCCCATTGTTGTGCAGAACTACTGTGTGGAGATGCTGTGCACTGCAGTGTTTTATGCGAGTACTGTCTCAGAACACTGCTCACCACAGGCCGATGAGGAGCGGGGAGCCTGTGGCCGGTTCCCCTACATTGTGTCCATCCGTGACAAGAGCAATGACCACAAGTGTGCAGGTGTTCTTATTCACCATCGTTGGGTGCTGACATCAGCACAGTGCGTGGACCCCGGAGTCCAGGCTGATGCTGTGGTGTCACCACAGTCACTGACCGTGGTGGTTGGGGGATGTAATCTGAAAGATGAACTCCCAGCCAAGAATGCAGAAGGCCAGAAAGTCGAGGTGAGCACTGGTAATGCACCATTGTGTCCAACTACTACAGCAAGCCGGTGTTCATTGTTGTTCATGTGCGACATTCCACACGTTCCTCCATCCGGAGTTATACGTCTGTCTTTGATTTGGGCGGCCGCATTCTGTGTGCTTATTGTCCCATGTCCGATGTTGGATCATTAGTATTTCGTTATTTATTCAATCTTGGGTAATTGTTCTGCTCAACATCGAAGCAAGGAGTCCAATGTGATTTCTGACGATGTTCTCCGAAATCTGTGGAGGCTACATCATTGCAGCAGTTTTAACAACTAATCAGACCCCGCCTTTGGAACCATTTTGAGCAATATCGGTGTTCCGTTGACCCAATCGAATATATAGTCTCGAGCTTGAGAATGCCCCACTCAGGAGCAGGGCGCCTCCTTGTGGACGCTCGGGTGGCAGACGCCAGGCTTCCAACGCCGCCAAGTGTCCGATCCTGCAGGGAAGGATGGAACAGCCTAGTACTACAATGTACTGAATTTTGTGGCATGTCTTAGCAGGGAAGCCGCAAGGGTCCCTAGCCACAGTGCCCAGCGGGATGGGTGATTTGTGAGCAAATTTGGTCAGCAAGCAAATGTGATGAAGGGGCGATGAGCAGTTAGACCAATATTTGGGACTTTTGGAATAATTCCCCAAATGCCAATTTTGGATTTTTAAATAATTTCCAAAAATGCCGATTTTCCCTGAGAAGCCTTTGAGGCTCGGTACTTTACAGTACCGCTTGTATCGGCATTTTCAGCGAAAATGCGCATTAGCTGTTGGTAACGGTCAGTGGTTTGTTAAAATGATTTGCTGACATTTCTACGCAGGTTTTCGAACTTAACAATTTCTTCGTCCACGAAAACTGGACTGGCAGCTACGAGAATGGTTCAGACATCGCCCTGCTCCTCCTAAATGGCTCTTCAAAGCATGTACCCCTGGCCATGCCGCAGGTGGGTGGCGAGGGAACAGAGACGATTTGGTTGCTGATTTCATCGTGGACCCACCATCTCCGCTTTTGCTGTGCATGCTGTGACATTTTGTGTTTCGGTGCGCACAGTTTCTGTCGCCTGCACTTGAAAGCCCTTGTCAAAGGGCGCCGTGCTGTGCAGTGCAGAGTCTTGTGTCATTTTTCCCTAAAATTGGGTTATTCACTCTCTTAAAACGACCACGTTGACCAAATTCGCACAATTTCATTCCCGGCTCACATCGCATCCGTTGCTCCATCCCATTTTCCTCAAGATGGCGATTTTTTGCATTCTGAACTTAATGTCACTTATTCCTTATTACTAGTTTTCGCATTATCCATGTTTTGCACCATTTCGTTTTCGCAGTTTTGTGTCGCTTGTGTTTTCGCATTTTTCATTTTCCCATTTTTGCATTTCCCGCATCTTTGCGTTATCGCCTGCGCAGGGAATCAAGGGCCTGTTCGCAACGGACAGGGTGTACTTCGTCGGATGGGGCCGAGACGAGGCCGGACGGCTTGCAGAAGACCTCAGGGTGGACGGCGACATCCACATAGTGGATAACAGGTTCTGCGACGGGGACGACGCGTGGCCGTTCCTTAAGGATTCCATGGTGTGCGCCCTGGGCGTCAACAGGCCGCCGGATTTGTGCGCCGGTGAGGGTGTGGCAGAAAGTGTTCTGGCCGGGAAGAGGATTTTGCCATATTGTACAGTACTTTGCCGTTTCCGTTGTGCTGTGTTGGGGCGCATTTCTGCCATATCTGTATCTCATCTATAACGCCACTGTGCAGATTTGACCCGTTCCTGTTTTAGTTCGTCGGTACCGAATTTCTACCATATTGTGTCGTATCTGTGACGTAACTGTACCGCAACTGTACTGTTTTGTACCTTATTGCACCGTTTCCGTTGTTTCTGCTCTGATGGCGGCGATCCTATTGTTCCAACCTTCACGGACGTCGTCCGATTGTGCAACGTGTGCAAAGTCAGAGGCCGGGGCCCCTGGCGTCGGCAAGGGAACAAGGTCCCCTCCTCTTTTCTGCAGCAAATCTCAGCGTCCTCACCGGCAGCAACACCCACTCCCGCCACCGCGACTTTGGGGAGGTTGAGTTTACATTTCCTGTACAGGAAACATAGTGATGCCGTGATAACATGTTGTCACTGCATTGGCCGTTTCCTTACAAACATGCATATAAAACGCACTTGTACATATGCTTGTGGAACCATCGTGCTGCACCTTTCGCTGCCCTCCCTGGTGCACCTGGGCAATTTTGCGAGTCGACCATCATCTGTGCAATCGATTTGACACGAGCCAGGAGTTGTGGATATGTCTTCCAGGAACTGGTGCAAGGATCTGCGTGTTGCCATCTTTCCTTGTGCCACATTTCCTGAAGGTTGGATATTCATGGATGCGAAGCCCTTGCGACAGGTTATGCTGTGCGGGTAGCAAGCAATTTGTCATACACAAACTTCTTGGACAAAGTGGGACGAGCAAGTACTGTATGTGCTGGCACTTGCACCACTTTATACGTTTTTTTACTTACACTTAATACACTCTTAGATGATTTATATACTCTTGCACACATACTTTGCAAATGTGTGTTCCAATGGAGGGTTACACTTGCTTTTAGTACCGAGGAAGTGAGTAAATGTGCCCAGGCGACGTGGGTGGCCCTTTGGTCGACTTGTTCACTTTCGGACCGAGAGGTGATCCCTTGGGCGGCCAGCCGCGATTCGACCATTTGGTGGCGGTGACGTCGTTTGGAGAAGAGGACAAGGCGTGTGGCGCGGACAGAAGGCCTAATGTGTACACGCGGGTGGCGCCGTTTCGCCAATGGATAGATGCGCAGGTAATGACCAACGCAAGCGCTCGGCGAGGGCTGCCAAAAGGGCACCAACGTGTGGCGTAATTAATATTAATGTGCTGCGCTGGTGGCCCATTTCGCAGCAACGGTGTATTGCAGGATTTGGCCTTCTGCGTGATTTGTCTGCGTGTACAAAACTTTCTTTTCCCTGGAGGGTGTCCAAGGTTCGTCAGTTTTTTGAAAGGCGTGGCGTCGGGCGCCCGTCAGCAGTTGCATGTTCGACGGGAAACGTTCGCTTTGGAGCGTGTACACGTGAATCATGGCGCTTGAATTGCTATAATGCAGCCTGGCGGGAAAGTATGGTATGTGCTTTGTACCACGACTTGTGCCGCTTTCCGATGCTGTTGAGTACTTGCCATATTGAACGTGTGAACTACAGCATGTGGTAGAGCAGCGCCCCTCCGCCAGCGAACCGCCGAGCTCTCGATCTCAGCCAAGATATTCAGTGGAACTTCATGGATCACGCGAGTCAGACTTCAACGGGACCATTAAGCGACTTCAGTCAACAACAATGTGCTAATTTTCTTGCGAAATCGTCTGGCCAGTATCGCAACTTAACGGACAACTCGTCAAGCAGGGACTACAGTCCATCGGCCGTCTGCTAAATACCAATATCGCATGGTACGAAATTGCGCAATTCACACAAAAACACACAAAAAACTAAACAATTTACACAAAAACACACAAAAAATTAAAAAACATAAAAAGAACACACAAGAAAAAATAATTACTGTTGTCCCTAGCAGGCAATCTTTGCTTACTCTGGCCTTCACGGCGCAGTTAATTGGACGGTTTTCTTGGGATTGACATTTGTCATTTTCGACCGCAGATCGCCGCCAAGACCGATATCATCGGCGTAAGTCCCTTGCGTGGTAGCGTGGCACACGAGCTACGAGCTCACTCCTGGCGTTGGATATGCCATGATTCACTAGTGTGCGATGAACGGATAATGAATGCCTTCAATGAGTGATACGTAAATGGGATGAATTGCCGTTAATTGTGCATGCATAAGCGCACAAGGTCCCAGTCCACGACCCCAGGTCCACACATATCCATGGAGCAGGGGACTTCGACGTCGGGGACCGGCGACCTTGGCGTCACCAGGGGATGAGGGCCCCTTCTGACACAAGCGAAAGATCGGCCAAATCAAACGTTTCCGAAACGTGTAAAACTCGTGTGAAACCGCGTCAAGCGTGTAAAATCATGCACACTCACTCATTCGTTACTACGCGATTTGGTAGCATTCTTATATGATGAATAAACAATAAATACACGATGAAATACGAGTTTTTCCCGATTTTCCATTGCGTTACGCGGTGCAAGATGTTCGAAGCCGTGTGTTTGGCCTGTTGGTTTACTAGCGTGGCCTCACGGCGGCGCCAAAGGGCACCCTGCCCTTGCCCAGTGAGGAAGCGAAGAAATGTACGATAACCTTCGCTTCCAACATGATGTCATGTCCGGGTTTACCACTTTTCGGGAAATCGTCGATTTTGATTTTGGCTTCCTCGCACCCTCCCTGAACTCTCGAGCCCTTCATGTCTGGAAATCATATGTATCGTACAAACCTCCCCCTGCCCGGTGCAGCAAACTCTCGACACTGCCCCCCCCGACCCACACATCCGCCCATTCCCACCCCATCGCACTCAATGCACTCCCTGTGAATGCCCATGGGGCTTGCGACTCCCCTGGTAACGTTGGCAGATGGTGAATTTTTCTTGACTCAGCTTTGCGACCACTGTCTGGTAAACGAGAGGGGAGCTTGCTGGACCATATTGGTCGCCGCTGCATGATTGTTCAAAAGTTGTGCCGCCTCCATTACGTTGCATCGTTCTATTTGTCACTCGTTTGCCGATTGTTAGAATGTGAATTCCTTGAGTTGATGCTTAACGCGTTGTGCATTGGAGGGTTCTGGGGGAGATTGCCTGGCTTGCAGCAAATGGGCATTCACATTCGAATCAGAACGAGCATGTCGTGTGTGCGTGGTGCATGCAGGCCGTATGCACAGGCGAGCGTCACGTACATAGCGCGTATATGCACGGTGCTTCGCCGTGCAGGCGTGTATGAATATCGTGGCGTAGGCGCATCGTAGTTGTGATGCACGCTGTCACCATACGCATGCCATGTGAGGCAATGTGCGAATGCCATTCTCGTATTGCATGCACATCGCATATGAATGCACGCGCCATATGTGGTCGCCATCATATTTTCATGTCTCAGTGCAATGCCCACCGTATCACACCGTATACGCGTATATACACGTGAACGCCATATACGGTCATATACGGTGTGATATATATGTAATACATGTACGGTTTACATCCGTCATAGAATCCATTTGGCGGTGATCATTGCTGTGCGTACATGACTTATCATTCATTTCGACAGTTCACTGCGATGTTATCTTTTTGGGGCCCATACGTTCCTGAACCTGTGACACCTATTTGCAGTTGTTATTTGGTTGAATTCGAACTTTAGAATGGATTTTTCGACCAGAGTTTTATCTCAGTTTTCGTTGTTCGCCTCAGCTTAAAGTTGAACTGGACGCCGCACCTCCAGCCCCGGTGATTGCACCTGAGTCGGCGCCGGAGGCAACTGTACCAGCAACTGCACCTGCTGGGAATATAAACGTAAGTCTTCTGCGGAACGGTATGTTTGAAGTGCTGCAAAAATGAGAATTGACAAATGGGTATGTGAACAAGTGAGTTGAGGAACAAATCTACCAATGCGTCATGGAACGAGTAGTAGATGAGTGAGCAAACAACTGGATATGGCAGGTCCTGTGCCCATGCATTAAATGGATGCACGTTGTATAATTCATTGAATGTGTGTAGCTTAATGCACCGCAATTAGAAATCGCAGGTCCAGCAACCCTAAGAATAATCGGTTCCTAAACAAACGCCGCTGGGTCCATGGCAATGCTTCCTACTCTGAGGCTTCCATCATTCCTGTGCGGTTGGTGAACCGCATTATTCTGTACATTTCATACATACTCACGGTGGGCGCCTTGAGCTTAATCTTGAGACGCGCATCATGCAAATACGGTATCGTGCAGTAGTCGACGTTTGTCCGCCGAGGAAACATTTTACTGAGTAGCATTTTGTTCTATTGCGTTATCATGTGCGTAGCATCAGATGCCAGCATGCCCTTGCCTGTTCTGAAGATACTCCTCAGATGCTGCCAATACGAAATATTCCTCGCATTACCCAATCCACACTAGGAAAAAAAGGACCAAATAACACGTGTTTAAACGTGCACAAAGTTTACGGGTTTGTGTTATTGTTGTGTTCTTAGCGTGCAGAACTTTGATGACATGTGTTTTATGTGTCTTCGCAAAAGTGTTGTTTGGCCCTTTTTTCCCTAGTGCCAATCACCAGGAAAAAAGGCCCAAATAACACTTCTGCGAACACACATAAAATACATTTCATCACGCCAAGAACACAAGAATAACACAAACCCGTAAACTTTGTACACGCTTGAACACGTGTTATTTGACCCTTTTCCCTAGCGAATATGACATTTTCAGTCTGTATGTTTCGCACGTGTCGAATGTGTTAGGGATGCTGCAGACGCTCCATCGTGCGTGCGCTGTTGACCTCCTCACCATGACGAACTGTTGGTGCTCCCATCCAGGACAATTGCTTGTTCAAAATAAATGGAGTCGCCAGTTTCATATGCAAGAATCCTCCAGAGCCGTCTCCACAAGAGAAGGACAGTGGTGGCGATGGGCGCTAGTCCAATCCCAATGCCAAAGGGTGCTCGCGAGGCCGCCCAATCCAAATCCAAGATTCTTGTCGTTTCGGCTAGCGCCTCATGGTGCGCCATCTGCTCATTTATACGAACGCCACAATCCCGATGCGGCGGGCAGCAGGGGGCGGGTGTGTGTGTGGGTGGGTGGGTGGGGGGAGAGATGTTCGTTTCGGCATTGTGTAACAGAATTTGCCAAATGCGAGTGTGTGTGTGTGGGTGGGTGGTGGTGGTGGTGTGTGTGTGTGGGGGTGGGGGTGGGGGTGGGGGTGGGGGGAGAATGCGTGGAGAGAGGCCACTGCAATGGAATGCACCTAGGCTGTGTGTGCGCACAACTTCCCAAACCCACTCCGTATGAAGGCCAGTGCGCGTGTCCCCAACACGACGGATCCACGAATCTGGATGCAGAGGGGCATAGTCAACAGCATCGCCCTTCCATACGCGCTTGAATCAATGCGTCGCATGCGCGAATTATGTTATAATGTCACAGCAATTGTAACGTTCACAGGGCAAGGAGCCGAGCTCCAGGATGCATGCAA